GTGCCAGGTCCAATATCTGGGGAAAGACTTGGATAGAATTCATGCCAACCCAAGGGTTGTATTCCTTTATTTTCTAATAGCCTATGTCTACGACATAGAACATCCACGCATTTGCGTGCCTCTTCTTCAGCTTTCTCAACTATTTTTGCTTGCAAGGTAGCTGGAAGCCTGGAAGCTAGGAGTATATTGGAAGAATTAACAGCTTTGGGACTCGAGTTTTTGAAGAGATGTGTCGTTCCATGCTTTCCAAAAGAGCATAACAGGCTACCTCAATCTCATATTCACCAGTCATAAGGATGAGCATGTCACCTGCGTAGAGAACAATTCATGCTGGTAGATAGAGTGATTTAAAATTAGATGATTGAGATTGAATTTATGGGTATAAATTTCAAAAATTCACTAAAGTTGTTGTGTTTTTGCATGTGGTTAACTTAGTTGTTGACGTTCGAAATTCAAGAAACAAAACAAGGAGGGCTTAAAACAGCAAGTTTTTGATGTCTGTAAGTGAGAATAATCAAAAACCGTGATGGTGTCCGGTGCATCAATGAAAAAGAATTCAAATAGTTGTCGAGCGTCCAAGCTAGAGAAACGTACGAGTCAACTATCATCGCGAATGACTCAATTAGGTCTTCAGATTCGGAGAAAGTGTAAGCGGGAGATTTAGGATTTGACACCTTCAACTTATATTTAAAAAAAAAGAAGATGTTAAACAGATACATGGCTTAGAGAAGTCCACTAAATTGTAAGGGAAAAGAGGAAAATTGCATTAAAGAAAGGGAGAAAATGAGAACATTAAGGAAAGTGAAGTAGCTTGATAAAATTTAAAGGAATAGATATAAAGAGGAAAGAAAAGGAAATAAAAAATAAAATGAAAGAGAAGTTGTTCGGTCTCGTGTTCTGTACAGTAACTTTAAATATATTTATAGATCATTAGAAGTAGAATTAATACTTTAAAAGTATTAGATACATATATAATAACTTTCAAGACAAAAGGATTTGTTGGCTGGCTTATCACTAACTTATTTTCCATTTAAAATAAAGAAAAAGCCTACCCAACTTAGCCAATTAAAAATAACTCGTCCCTTCAAAGTTTTTCCCATATCTCCTTATAATTTTGACAGGATTAATCACCATTGTTTTCACAAGAATATTGGGTATGGATGTCAATATTAGTATTTACATTGATTAGTTTGGGGTTTACATTTATTTTTTTTAATCAAGATTTACATTGCACGGAATAACAACTGCACAAGCCCTGCATTCAACTTAACGTTGGGAGTAAAATTTGGACAGGAACATAGAATATTGGCACAAACTCCCAAAGAAATTTTACTATAACTTTTGGGCATTAAGAGTGCCGACGTGGCATTAAGCTTACCACCATGATCCCGCACAGCAACATTTTCAAGGATTTCAGAAAGGCCATTGGTGCTTACTGCTTAGTTATCTTTTTTTTTTTTGGGTTAAATACCAAAAATCCCATGTGGTTTGCTTAATGTTCACTTTATCTCCCTATGGTTTGGAAACCTATAATTTGACTCCTTGTCGTTTCAACTAAAGTGTATTTAACGGAATTTCTGTTAGATTTTCACTTTAGGTGAAACGACAGGGAGTTAAATTGTATATTTTCAAACCATAGGGAGGTAAAGTGTACATTTGACAAACCACAGGGGGGGTTTTTGATACTTAACGCAAAACCCTTATAGAGGGGTAATTTTGACATTTTCCTTTCAGACGTTAGTTTAAATGTTTTCCGTTAGACTTTTACTTTAGTTGAAATGACAAGAAGTCAAATTGTAGGTTTCCAAATCATAGGAAGGTAAAGTGAACATTAGGCAAACCACATGGGGGTTTTTGGTATTTAACCCTTTTTTTTTTTAGTAATAAAAAGTTTGAATAGATTTGACTCTGATCGCCATCATAAATCAGAACATATCTTTGGGATATCAATCGCTTATAGAGATCCTTATAGATTACTTAGTTATCTCTTTTGCACTTCTATTAAAATAGCACGTTATTTATCCAGGTCAGGGTCTTCAGCGTTTTTCGAAGAAGCCCCAATCAGTCATGTACTTCATAATAGGAAATTGCTTGGACCATATTTTGGAAGGAAAAATAGTTTAAAACGTCCCCCATATTTTGTTAAATAATTTTTTTTGTATATCATTTTTGAAATGATAATTTCACATTCCTTACAAAATTGGTTCGGTAAAATTTGATTCCAATTTAGGTTATAAACCACTTTTTATCTTGAATTCATCTTGTGAACCACATGTGGTCAACTTTTTAGGGATGAAAGAGTTAAATCCCATTTATAATTAAACAAATGATTCAATCTATAATTATTTTTGCCTTTAAAAAAGTAGAATATAATTTGAATCATATTCTTTTTTTTCTATAAAAAAAGTGTGATTTGACAATTCATATTTATTTTTTCCACTACAAAAGTAGTAAAGTAGTATCTAAGTTTTTTGAACATAAAAAATAACTAAATGTAGGTCATGTGGTGATTTTAGGCTAAAAAGTAGTTGAAAATTTAGGTCGAGACCAAATTTTGTTAACTTAAATTTGTTAGTGACGTAAAATTAATATTTTAAAAATGAAGGACAAAAAAATTCATTTACTAAAATGTGATGGACATTTTCAACTATTTTTACTTTTTGGATCAACATTTTAGCACTCTTTGTAACATGATTTACATGAAATAAAAATGTGATTTAGAAGATAAAAAGGGATAATTACATGATGTATTCATTATGCAATCATTTTTGACAAATAATAGCCCATCCAATCAAATTTAGGAGGTGTTTGGTAAATAGGTTTCAAGACAAAGAATGAGTTTCAATTCAATCCTATTCATACATGATGCTTGTTTAAAGTCAATTAGATCTAAGGACTAGTTCTCAGTTGACTATTTTTACTGATTATAGATTCTGAGTTAGAATAAAAGTTTTGTGGCGTTCTAGATTGTTTTTGTAATCTGATTATAAATTTTTTTATAACCAAAAAGGCTAAGATCTATAGTCATCCAAAGAGTAGTTTTTATTAATTTTGATTATCCTCTGTAATTAGTTTCTATGATTAGATTTTGTAAAATCTAAAATGACTGAGAACAAGGCCTTACTTAATGGATTTCATGGTTTAAAACTACTAAAGAATAAGGTCTCACTTATCCATTATTTTTTTGTTACTTAAATCTATTGTTATGTAGTTATCTAACTCTTCATACGGGTATTCGTCAAAACCTATTGCTACTCTCCAATTTATCATATTCGTATTCATATTGATTGTGGAATTTGAAGCAAATGGCTCCTTAGTCTATTTGGCGCAGACACATCTTCAAAATAAATTGTATATCCAACTTTATCACCAAGCTCAATTTCCATCTCAGAGCTGCCACAAGTCTTAGGTTGAGTGCAAGTCTTAGTCTGTAGACATTGACTTTATTGTAACGCATCTTTATTTTACCGGAAAAAAAGGATAATTTCTGAAACCTTCCCTGAGGTTTCTGATACTTTCACTGACATCCCTTGAGGTTCTCAAAATTTCACTGACCTCCCTTAATAGAAAATTGGGCCCCTTTTCTGATATCATGAAGGCCAAAATTACAAATATATCCTATGAAGTAGGGGTTTATTACTACCGTTTAGTTGGAGAAAAAGGCATCTAAAGTGATTAATTAAGCTTAACAACAATAACACAAACTTGATTACGGTTTCATGAATTAAAGCTGGATTAGGGAGTAAGGCGCCAATTGAGCTGCAATATTGGTGCCATTTTTGTGCCTGCTGTGATTTGACAAGAAGATAACATATCACTTATATGTACGTGTAATGACATTCTGGATTATGGAAAGAAACAAAGGAAATAACAAGAACAAAAATGGAAAGGAAATTGTGATCAAACCAGTGGTCCTGATATGCATTGGAGTAGCAGCAGCAAAGTGAAGAATTAATTGTTGTTTTAAAATAGTTGCAAACACAGCAGTAAAGGTACGAGATTATTTGTTCCTTTAACTTTCCTTTACTGGTGCTGCTCCTTTAACTTTCCTTTACTAGTGTTGCTCGATTCCACCTCTGTCTTTTGTCTAAATCTTGATATTGAACATTCATTTTGTTTATTAAGTGGATTTTTGAGTTAATCATTGACACTGAACTCAAGCCATTGCATATTATGTGTGAGACTACTGTGAAATCTTGTGCTACATGTATGCTGTGAAGATTAGTTGATCATAATTATTCTTATGTTAATGAAAGTTGAGTAGCATGCTGCTGAGTTATATAACCAATGTTTCTAGTTTCTAGATGATGTTTTCTCAAACTAGCTTTGGTTGTGATCATCATCATATTTGAATGCTGAGATTATAGGATGGGGAATCTTGCTGCCGCCTATGACATTATGGTTCACTGTAATGGGAACAAAATTAGGATTCCAAATGTGGATCCAACTGGCTATACGTACATCTCCTTGCTATTTGATGTAACTGAGAAGGCATTGATTAAAATGCCTGGCAATGTTAATATGCTTATGCAGATGAGATGTGAAGTTTTTGGAAAAAATTGCATGATGGATGTTAATGATGATGATTCAGTTACTGAGATGTTCAAAATACATAAATCTAAATTAGTAATTAACTTGCATGTGTCTGATATGGAAATTATTCTAGTTGATGAAGAGAATACCTCAGTGAATGTGAGAGAAATGAACAAAAATGATAATTTAGGCATTGAACAAATTCCTAGCAAGGCAGTAGTTGTAGACATTGGACAGTCGGATGATAACTATGGTGACTCTAGCTCTGATTCTTTGTGGAAACACAACTTGCATAGTGACACTGATGAGGAAGCAGTTGATGATAGGGCAGTAGATGCATATAGTGAGGATAGTGACACTAATTTTTCTGATTTTGAGAACAATGAGGCTCTTGTTGTGGACCTGTGGTTCCTGATTCTGAATCTAGGGAAGAAAATGATCCTATGAGACAAGTAATAAGACAAAAAATGTGGATTTACAATAGCAAAGATGAGATAGAGTTTCAAAAGGGTCAGTTATTCACCAATGTGGATGCCTTCAGAGCTGCATTGAAAGACTATGTCATCCAAAAAGGCTTTCCTATTTTGAGATTAAAGAATGAGAAGAGTCGAGTCACTGCTGTCTATGGTGTTGAGGGATGTCAATGGAGAATTCATGCTTCACCAGTGGCTGATTCAGTCACTTTTCAGATTAAAAGCTATCAGCCAGAACACACTTGTGTTATGGACAAACAATGTGCTGAGGCCACATCTGACTGGATGGCCAAGAAGTTGGTTTCTGTCATGAGGGATCATCCTAATATGACCAGTAAAGGGGTAGAGGCAGAGTTGCTTAAGTATGGTGTGAGGCCTAGTAAAATGCAAATTTTTAGAGCTAAAAACAAAACACTAGCTGAGATAGAAGGCACACATGCTGAATCTTATACAAAATTGCCAAGATATGCTGAGCTGCTAAGAAAGTATAATCCCAATAGCATATGCAAAATACATTATGATAGGCCAAATATCTTAGTTGTGCCTGCCTTCCTAAGAATCTTTGTTAGTTTCACAGCACAAAAGTTAGGATTTCTGGAAGGGTGCAGACCTTTTATGGGGTTTGATGGCTGTTTCTTGAAGGGTCCATTTGGTGGTGTATTGCTCACAGCAGTTGCTTTGGATGCAAATAACAGTATATTTTCTTTAGCCTTTGCTGTAGTTGAATGTGAGAGCAAGGATACTTGGAGGTGGTTCTTCTACTATTTTTCTGAGTTTTTTTGGACCATTTGATCACAGCAAACCTTTAATATTCATGAGTGATAGGCAAAAGGTAAAATTTTTGTCCATAGCTTTTGATGTTTAATCTGAAAATGGTTGCTGAGTCATTTTGTTTTGGTTACAGGGATTGAATCTTGCATATGAGGAGATGATTCCTGAGGCAATTGGAAGGCATTGCTGTAGGCATATATGCAGCAACTTTAAGAGTCAATTTCCAGGTATCTTACTTAGCAGTTTCTTTTGGAAGGTAGCGAAAAGCTATGATGCAATAGGACATAATGATGCAATGGCTAGCATTAAAGACATTGACATAAATGCTTGGAAATATTTGGATAAAATTCCAAGAACTACTTGGTGTAGACATGTATTCTCAACTGAGTTGAAATGTGACAATGTCACAAATAATTTTACTGAGTCTTTTAATGCTTGGATTGGTGATCGAAGAGGAAAACCAATACTGACTTTGGTTGATGGTTTAAGAAGAAAGTTCATGAAAAAAATGCACAAAAGGTACCAAAAAGGCTGCACCTTGACTGGTCACATTACTCCCAGAATTGTTGAGAAACTGAAAGAAATTGGCCAAGCATCAAGAAAATGTCAGATGCATATGGCTAGTGAGGATACATTTCAGGTTGGTGATATGGACAGGACCTACATAGTCAACTTGAGGCAAAGAATCTGTGACTGTGATGCTTTTCAAATTTCTAGAATTCTATGCAAGCATGCAACATTAGGAGTTATATATAGGAAAGAAAAACTAGAGAACTACTGTGAAGTTTGGTTCACCAAAGACATGTATTTAAAAACATACTCGCACATGATTCATCCCATTCCTCATGTGAAGAGATGGCCTCCTATGCCTGAAGTGCTACCAACAACTGTCTTGTCACCACCTCTGAGAAGAGCTCCTGGTAGACCAAGAGTAAATAGAAGAAGGGAAGTTGATGAAACTGCTTGCACAACACAGGAAAAGAGGTCAAGCACTCTTAAGTGTGGAAATTGTGGAGCTTTTGGTCACAATAAGAGGACTTGCAAAGGAGCACCTGTGCAAAAAAGCTCTAGCAACACTACTCCTACTGAACAGGTATACATTTTCCAAAATATGATGTTATCCCTGTCTCCTAACTATTACTTATAGGTATATTGAATTTGTATCACAGATGGCAATTAGAAGAGGTAGACCTGGTAAAGGAATGGCTAATACAGGTCTGTCGAGAGCAGTTCTCTGGGTAAAGTGCAATTATCATAATCATTCCTGAGTCAATCGAGTAGTTTATCTACTACAAATCTCATTGCAGCTTACATCTCATGTTTTAGGATCATGCAACTAGAAATGCACCTATTGTGCACTCCAATCAAGGGAGCAATCCAAGCCTCCCAAGTCAAAATGGTGCAGCACATATTCAAGTGAATGTGCAAACTATTGCAACAACTCATGCTAATAGAAAGGTATGATCATAATCTGCTATCCTATATTTCTGTCAATAACATAATTCTAGTTGCTGTTTCCTATTTTTGACGTAGTTTATGTCTCAAATGTAACAGAGAGGAAGGCGTTTTAGACACAATCCTGCAACTTCTGCAACAAAAGTTGGTGGTAGAGTAAAAAACTTCAACTCTGCTCTAACTAATCCAGTTGTTCTAGTTCCACCTAACACTACATCTCAAAATGCTTCATCTGTTAGCATAAACGCATCTACAAATCAGCACACCAAAAGCATCAGTAGTACCAGTAGTTTCAACGTGCTATTTTGACAAGATGGTACTGAATTCCAGTTGTTAGTTATGTCTACTTGAATCTCTTTTGTTAATGCTTTTGTTAATGCCTTCTTACAGTGATTAAGAACTGTGGAATTGCAATCCTCACCATCTGCATATAGTGTTTTGATGCAGATGGTGTTTTGTACCGTTGGATTGCAGTGATGCACACGTGATGTTTTATAAATTCCATGCAACTGGCATTTTAGCTAATGTAATGTCCTGCATTTGATATTTAATCTGTCTTTTTGTTTACTTTTCACACTGAATTGTTTGCAAACTTGGCATAGTGGATGACAAATTACAAATAATGTACTGATTAATTGCTTCACTCTAAAGTCTAAAAAGCTGCATGCACAGTTTCACATTGGTGCTTAAATTAATTCCAAGTAACTTAGCCTTCTGGTATGAATCTCGTATCACCAGAAAAGGCATCATATTACTTGGTACAGTATTGCAACACAGTAACATGAGTTCATCGAATTGATTTTACAATTTGAATGAAAATAAATATAGCTAATAGGGTGAGGTTTATGATGATCAGTGCATTCCCTAAGGCTCCTAGTATCAGAAATTGCTTTGGCTCCGCAACTTGCCTAATTGGAATGCCATCTCCATTTCCGGCATTAACTTGTCATTTTTCTGCATTGAGGTTGTTTCTTCTACTATTTACTTCCTCTTCTTCAGCGCTATACCATTCAAAGTACCTGCACTTTGCACAATAGAAATACAACTTGTCTGGATTCCTTTCACTCTCTGATATCATTACGGTTGCCTTGCGATTACAGCGGCAAAACCTGTTTTTAATGGAGAAAGAAGTGGGTGAATTCCATGATTCTCCCTTACGGCTTGAAGAGGCCATGGTTGCAGCTAAAACTTTTAACTCAGAGCTCTAATTGCAACACAGAAAATTCACTTTGTTATCACTCCAAATCAACACCAAAGAATGATAATAGCTTGAAACCTCAGAGGTAGTTAAGTTGCTTTGCTTTAATGCTATTGCTACTAAATGTGCAAAAATCTGGCTGTTGCAATTTGCAGCTAGCCGTTGCAAAATCTACCAAATAACTGTTGCATGGCACATCTGGTGCTTTTAATTTTTTGTATTGCACTTACATCCCCTCAACTTTAGTAATCAGTCCAAATCATTTATTCTTCTTTCAATCTTCTACTAATACAAGGAGCAAAAGGGCAGCCATGGAATAAAAATACCTTCTCACACATGAAAATAATATTGTAATATGATTTGGACTGCATTGTTACCAAAAACTCAAAAGCAAGGGAGGTTAGTGAAATCTTGAGAACCTTAGGGGATGTCAGTGAAAGTGTCAGAAATCTCCCCTGAGGTTTCTGAAATTATCCCAAAAAAAAAAACCCAAGTGTCCATCTGCATGAAGTGACTAGGTCAATTGTGCCGTCTTTTTAGTAGGATTCTCAATGGGTCTGGGTTAGTTACTGTTGGGCCGGAAAATTTTGGGATCAAGCCTTGTGCATTAATTGGCTAGATAGTGTTTGTGCCTAAATATAAGGTCTGATTAAATTGTTAGCCAAGTATGGACTTTATTTGACTTGATCTCTTTAAAGCTTGGCCGATAAAATTTTTGTATGTGTGTGTGTATGTACATATATAATGTGTATATCTTAATTTTTATGTGTAATTGTGTATTAGTGGTGATATTGGGTCAAGCCTAAAAAAAGTCCAAAATTGTGATTGTAATGTGACCATGGTATGGGTTTCACCACAGGAGCCCGAAAACTGAAAACTACAACGTCCAAAATTTCACTTTCTTTGCGAGCTGAGTTGGAGTTTGTTAAAACCAGGCTTACAAAGCCTGAAAGCTCTACCTCCTAGAACCAGTTCTCGAGCAAGCACGTCCACCTTGTTTCATGTATGGAGAAAATATGAATGTTTATTAATTTCACAACTAATAATATTTTTTAATTGCTTGATAATGGTTTTTATACATATTTATAGCTATGACTAAAACTAAAGCTTTTTTTTTTTTCTGAAAAAAAGAATAGCATATGGACTCCTACCCATTTCCTATGTATATAGATAAAAAGGAGTTGTTGTATGACTCTTGGGTGATTTTTATTTGACCTTTGTAGGGACGTTTTGGGAATAGTAAAATTGTAATAGCATTGATTAAGCAAAGTGCACAAATTTGTGCTGCCTAATTTCGCATGTTTTACCTACTGTACCTTTTGGTGGCTTATGGTTTGTACCCTTTGGTGGCTAATGATTTGGCTGCTTTGCCATTGATTTAGCAAAGTGGGTAGAAAAACAAAATCAACTCCCCTTAAGTATGTTCAGCTAAATTGATTATGCAAATTAAATACATTTAAGACAATATTAGTGCGCTAAAGCTAAAGATGAATGCTTGAATTGTAACGGTAGAAGGCTCCATCTTCTTCATCCTCAAACTTCAAGAACCATTAACTTAGCTCTTGCAACAAATGACACTTAGTTGAATCAGTAACTACGGCATGTTGATAAGGCCATTAAAGTGTGAGCAGTGAAGAATCACTTGGGGTGAACTTTATGAGAGTAACTATAGGACCTCCCATTTTCTTCAACATTTGCTCATCAATTTATGAAGTAGGTTACAATAATGGCAGTTGTTAAGAGATTAGAGGTATGCTCAATTTTGCTCTTGTTTTCTGGTCTATGGGTTAGATAACTTCCATTCGACAATCAAAATCGTGAGTAAGCTCTTGTGCTTGCTATTGTAGGCAAGTGAAGTATGGAGAGATCTTGCGCTTAGATTGTACTTTGTTTTTAAGATACAGGGTAACTCTGTGTTCCCATTTGATGCATGTCATTTGTTGATTAAATGTGATTACAATTGTACTTGATCCAATTGAATTGTGTGCTCGAATGAACAAGTGTGTGAATGATTGTTTCACTTTGAAAATTAAATTGCAGTTGATGCAATTTATTGGTTCAATGGTTAAGCGACTGAGATATTATATGTGGATAAAATTTGCCATTTGAAAAGACAAGTGGCTATATTTACATGCTCTATTATTTTGTACTGAATTTCGTAGACTTGATAATTGTTTTATGCAAGTTAGTATTTGTAATGAGAAAAATTTATTTCCCCTCTAATTATTTGTAGATGCATGTATTGATCAAAATAATGGTTTTTAGTTGTAGTAGTTAAGCAAACAAATAGTATATCTAGATTTTTTGTGTTTAAGTTAGGGCCTGTGGGTTGAAATTTAGGATGGATAAAAACAAATAATATTGATAAACTTAATGCTAAGAAGCAACTTTGAAATCAAAAGGCAAGCAAAAGATATGCATTGTTATCAGCGAAAGAAAAAAATAAAGTACGATAGAAACAATGAAAAACAAGCGTAAAGCGTAGAACATACAAATTCGTTTTGTTGAAACAACTGAACATAACAATGATCCAGATTGAACAACCCAATTTTGTTTGAAAGATTAAATGTAGCGAAAAATGATTCACATGATAGCACCATTAGCTTCCATTTGTATTAGACATTGGACAGGAAAGTAGGGACCATACCAACAACCTCTGTTTATTATGTGATGCAAATTATGTGATGCCAAGTTATTAACCACACCACAGGTATCAATCTCCACTCTTTGCATGGGACTTCCCTCTAGTATAACAAAAACAAGGAAACTTAAAATCTGACTTTAACTTTCAATCTTATTTTTTCTCCAATAGGAGTTCCAGCTATAATTTCATAAACTAAATGTACATTAGGAACGATTCTTACTGTTGTTGTAACTTTTGTTTGCTTTTCATGATTTAGTTACTCTGGAACTTTTGGTCTCGTATAAATGTACAATTACATTATTGCAACAGAATTGGAATTATATAACAAATCATTAACGCTAGGATTTAAGGGGGAAAAAAGCAATCATTAAGTTACTAATATAAATAAAATCATTTATAAAAAATCTACACTTATGGAAACAAAATATTTGGATATTTTCGTCAAGCAATATACATAAGAGGCCTCATTTTTTTTTCCTTCCAGTACGAAAGATAACTTGCATCACACAAGAGGTCTCATTTGAAACAATCATTTGTGTGATTAAAGATGGCAAAGTTTTGCATGTTGTTTCTGTGCATAACTGTTCTCATTATGCTTGCACCAGGTATAAGCTGATTGATGTAGATATGTTGTACCTTTTAAATTCTTTTCCCATTTAGATGAAATTTTTCTTAGCACAATAGAGGAGTGGAATTTAAAAAGTAAGAGAGAGTAGGGAAGATTAAATCCAGGATCTCTGATTTTTGGAGATTTCAACTTTAACTATTAGATTAAAACCTTCTTAGCGAAATAGTATTAGACTGAAATGCTAGCTAGCTTGAATATATTCTAATTGTGGTAGATTAGGATATCCTATTCTAACTATTCTGGAATAGCATTTTCATATGGACAACAAAAAATTTTAAAAACTAAAAAAATACTATATTCATCTAATTACATCAATGATACACGAAAATCACAATGAGTACTTATATCCTTCGTATTTTCCGAATCTTCAAGTGCAAAAGAGGAGAAAGTGATAATTTCGAAATCAAAAGAGAAAGTTCATGAAGCAATTGATGTTTTATTGCTAAACAATGAATCAGTTGTCTTTTGCTGCCCTCCCAAGTCAGGAATGAAAGAGGGACAGTCACCTGCAATTCAGCATGAAGCTCTGAGAGGTTTGTCTCTTCCTGTGGCTCATCTTGATACAAAGAAGGTGTCATCTCCTCCAATTAAAAGGTCTAACCTTTTAAGCAAAAAATTTGAAATCGAACAAGACACCATACCAAAGTCAAGAATCAAAGAAGATTTTGATCCTATTGCATACAAGTTTCTCACTAAGGCCGGATATGATTTCAAAGAATCTATGGTGTTAAGTGTTCCACCCTCTCAAGTTACTAGTAACAGGATTTATAGATTGAATCCTACCCAAAAGATGTTGAAGAAAAAAAGATATACCATTGAAAATCTCAAATTTGGTATGGGCTACTCCTCTCCTACACCAATTCACATCAAGATCAATAAATTTAGTAACCAATATATTGTTGTGGGGGATGAATCTTCTCAAATAGCTAATAAATCTCAAATTTTTCATGAAAATGAGGATAAAACTCCACGGGTGTTTATTTTTAAGAGGTTAGGACTACAAAGAAATCGAAAGTCTCAAAACTCTCATAAGAGTAAAGAAAGATTGGCAAAGTCATTAAAAAATTATGAAGAGTCTTCTGATTGTTCTCATAAATTTGGTAGCATTATTCTTTCGAGAATGAGAAGATGCACAGACATTATAATAAAGTGTGGGACTGAACTGAAAGTCAGGGAGCATACCGTGGTGATACGAACGGCACCAATCGTGTGATGCAACCCGTACAAAAAGGCTTGGATCTATAAGGTAGAGAATCACATTGAAGATGACGAACGCAGCGGATCACCTAAACCCGTTGATCACGTGGTCAACGAACCCCGATATTTGTAGAAAATGCCACAATCTAGCGTGGTCCTAGATTGATAAGTCAATTGAATACCTAAGATATGAGTCTAAGATATTCAAGGTGCTTCAATGAAGCTTGAGAGAACTCTCAATATAATTTTTATTAATCATCAAAAGGTCCGTCTTACAACCCCTAATGCTAACTTAAATAGACAAATAAAAAGACTAATGGACCAAGCTACTTGCTAATGAGGCCCACATGGCCCAGAACATTGGCCCACGAACTAAACAACGACTAGGGTCCAAACCACAAATTAGTTGGACCCTCTTTATTATATTTTACTAAGACTACTAACGGCCATAGGCCCTTGACCAATCTCACACTAATCCTCAGGGATGGCCTCGAGGAAGATTACCTCTCTAGCTTCGTTAAGGCCTTCAATGGCCTTAGGC